TGTTTACTTTCTGTTTCTGTTGTTCTCCTTTCTCTTTTCTCTTTCTTCTTTGGTTGTGTGGTGTTTTTTCATTTTTCGTTTGTATTGTTTTGTAATTGTTCTTTTTCTTTCTTTCTCACTACTACTCCACTCTCTCTAATCTCTCTCTGCTCTCACCAACACACATCTCGTCTCACATCTCTCGTCTCTCTTCATCATCTCACACACATCCTCACACTATCACACACTCCATCTCTCTCTCTCTCACATCTCTCTCGTCATTCTGCTCTGTCTGTACTCTCTATCTCTCTCTACTCCTCTCAATCTCCTACTCTCTTCTCTATCCGTTCCTGTTTACTCATTTCCTCTGTAACAACAGGAAGTATCAATGTTTGTATGCACTTGCGAGTCAACACCTTCTCTCTCACCTCTTTTTTAATAGATGATTACGAGAGACTATCGAACGAACAGGCGACAGGTAACCAAAAACAGAAACGATACTCCAAATGACACGATCCAGCAGCAGTGAGCACTTACAATTCAAAAACAAACAACTGAACAAAACGCAACAACACAAAACACCTTAGCTTCGGACGCAAATCAGAGAATGGAAGAGAATGTTAGAGAGAGTGAAACGAGTGTTCTATGAGTAGCAGGTTGAATTTTTGACAGATGGCGTTGTAGATTACTGGTGTGCAGATGTTATGTGCTCTATGTTGTGGTACAGCTCGGCGTGTTAGTTTAATCGCTCACTACATACTAAGGGTCTGCTTGCACCTCAAAGGGAAACATGTTGAAGTACGTAAAATTACACACTCTCTCTCTTTCTTCTCTCTCTCTCCTAACTACAATGCATGCTATTCTGTTCATCTTTTTATCATTATTTCTAGTGGTAGATATCCTCTCAACGATAATTGAATTAGGCCAATCATAATGTCTAAATCTTCACCATAGTCATTGCCTTATGTTATGCTTGTATATCTTATTTCTACTATACTCTATTAATCTATTATATAATCACTATCATATATTATATATATATATATATATATCTATTCTCTTCTCTCTCATTTCATCTCTCTCTCTTCTCTATGGATATCTTATCTATCTTACTAATCTATATCTTACTATTTCTCTCATCAAATACAACTAACTAACTAATATATATATATATAATACTCAACACAAACCAATGGGTGTGTGCATGTACACATAACTAATATCAACACACACTTGTGTGGTGCATATACTTATACAAATATATATATAAGTAATATATATATATAGTATATATATATTAATATATATATATATATATATATATATATATACATACATCCATAAAACACCATATAATCAACACATACAATATGATATATATATAATATATATATATATATATATATGTGTGTGTCAGCACACAATGATGATCAATGAGATAGCGTGATTGATTTAATAGTGAAGAAGGGGAACGAAGAGAGAAACAGTGAGGTTATCTAGATAAGACTGATATAATTCAGAGAATCAGTCTTAGTGGTATTAGATGTAACAATAATAAGTGTGAAACCACTCTCATCTTCTCATCTTCTCGCTCTCGTCACATTGCTCTCTCTCTCTCTGTATGCTCTCTCGCCGAAGCCAATAGCGAAAAGGCCTTCGACATATTCGTCTCGTCTGTTCTCTTTCTTGTTCTTTCTCTCTCTCTCTCATTCTTCGTCTGTCTCTTGTCTGCAGTATGTGTCATGCATGTACTACATACATATGTTTAATCTATTACTCTGTACATCACACATCACATCACACACATCTACACACATACTCTCTCTCTCAGTCTCCACACACATCACCAACACACATCCACTATACATATCATCTTCACTCATACTATTACTATCTATTATCTATATATCTATATATACTGTGTGCTGTGTCGTGTGTGTGTGTGCTGTATGTGTGTGTGCGTGTTGCTGTGGTGTGTGTGTGTGTGTGTTGAGCTGTGTGTAGTTGTGCTTGTGTGTGTGGTGTGTGTGTGCTGTAATCCTGTTAATATATATATATATATTATATATATATATATATATAGACTCAAGTTTTCAGTATTTTTGATAATACCTATTATTTATTGATAATTGGTTAAAAATATTGATTTCCATAAAAAGAAGATTAGACATACAGTAAAAGGTACTCATTATATAAAAATAAATGATCGACTATGTATATACGCAGTTCCATATATATATAATGTAAATTCTACTATGATATATATAATATTATAATAATCCTGGCCATTTAAATGTAGAAGTATTAAAATTTTAATATACTAATATTGTATTCACGGTATATATTAAAAGGGAAATTTACTGACATTTGGTTTTGTTTACTTCGCGCTCGTATGGCGCCCCACATGAAAATTTACTGACAAAAGTTATTGCAGATATTTGTTTTTGTTTACGTTCTGTGTCGCAACTAATCCATATCTTAAGAAAATGGTTGTTGCGATGAGTTCGCTCTATGTAGTGCATTGTGATGCGCCCCCAAGCTCTTACCTGTTAGAAGCACATCTCTATGTATTTTCGATATTGTTTATCTGTATGCCCTTTTATTATATGACCCGTTGGGAGAGAAACCATGAAGGGAGAAATTTGTGCATGAAAAAGAAATAGAGATCGTCACAGGTGGCTGGTGGTTGTGTGAAGCTCAAAGAAGATCTTGGGAGGAATGGGGGGGGCGTAATCATCCGCGAAGTTGTCGCGCGTGTAAGGGCGCCGGGCTGTAGGCACGAAGTGCTCGCGTGTATCGTATAGCTCACATAATGAGGGTGTGGGGTGGGTGTGCGCTCGTGTGGGAGGGGGGAGTATTGTGCGTTGGTGTAAGGGGGAGTGTGCACGGTGTATGTACGTGTAATGGGTGTGGGTGTGTGTTTTATGTTCCGCGTGTGCGTCGTGGGTGTGGGGTGTGTGGGGGTCATGGGTGTAGGGATGGGGGGGTGAGGGGGTCGGTGTGTGTATGTATATGTGGGTGTGGGAGTGGGTGTGGTGTTTATGTTTAGCGTGTGGGTGTGGGTGTGTGGAGGGTATGGGTGGTAGGGGTGGGGGGGGTGAGGGGGTCGTGTGTGTTGTATATAATTGTGGGTGTGGATGTGTGTTTATGCTTAGCGTGTGCGTGTGGGTGTGGTGTGGGTGTGTGAGGGGGGTGAGGGGGTCGGTGTGTGTATGTTAGTGTGGGTGTGGATGTGTGTTTATGCTTAGCGGTGTGCGTGTGGGTGTGTTTGTGTGGGAGGGGGAGGGGTGAGGGGGTCGGTGTGTGTATGTATAAGTGGAGTGTATGTTTAGCCATGTGTGGGTTGGTGGCATTGGTGTGGCGTGGGGTTGAGGGAGTGTAATGATGGTATATGTGGTTGTGGTGTGTGTGTTTATGTTTAAGCGTGTGCGTGTGGGTGTGTGGTGGTTAATGTGAGCATATATGTGCGAGGGGGGTGTTTTATACGTGTACGTGTCTATGCGAACGTGTATGCGCATGTGTGTGTGGGTATGTGTTTACGCGAACGTTATGTGCCATCTGTGTGTGGGTGTTTGTTTAACGGAACGTGTATGTGCATGTATGTGTGGGTATGTGTTTACGCGGACGACGTGTGGTGCATGTGTGTTTGTTTTTATCTATGTAAATACAGTACATACCTACGTGTCGCGAGGGGTGTGGGGTGTGGGCGTGAAAAGAAGGACTCACGCGACGACAACAGAACAAGACAAAAACCCAATCCTCGATCTGCTATTGAATGAGTTAACTTTATCCGCCTCACAAAACAAAGTTAATTATGTTATCGTTCCCTTTACGAGTCTAATTCTGTTGCGTTCTAAAAAAGATTTTTTCCTCTTTTTTTTTTTTTTCTTTTCCTTCTTCTTTCTCTTTTTCTTCTTTTTGTTTGTCTCTATTTTCTGTTTTCAGTTCAGTTCGTTTTGTTCTTCTTCTCTGGTTCTGTTTTCTTTCTTTCTCTTCTCTCTCTCTCTCTCTCTTCTCTCTTCGTCCTCTCTCTCCTCTCTCTCTCTTCTCTCTCTCTCTCTCTCTCTCGCTCCTCTCTTCTCTCTTTCTCTCTCTCTCTCCTCTCTCTCTCTCTCTCTCTCCTCTTTCTCTCCTTCCTCTTTCTCCTTTCTTCTTGCTCTCTCTCTCTCTCTCCTCTCTTCTCTCTCTCTCTCTCTCTCTCTCTCTCTCTCTTTCTCTCTCTCTCTCTCTCTCTCTCTCTCTCTCTCTCCCTCTCTCTCTCTCTCTCTCTCTCTCTCTCTCTCTCTCTCTCTGTGTTTTTATATTTTCCTATTTCAGTTCGAGGGGCAGATTGTATATATGACATTTTTTTTTTTTTTTTTTTTTTTTTTCTCTCTATATTTATATTTGCTTTCCTTTTTTCTTCTCTTTTTTCATGGCATTTTCTTTTTCATGTTTTCCTTTTTTTTTTTTCTGTTTATTTTCATTTCCTCTTTTTTTCCACTTTTACTTGCTCTCCATTTTCGTTTTCTTTCTTTTTTTTCCCTTTTTCTTTCTTTTCTCCTTTTTTTCATTTCGCTATATTTCAATTACATTTTTTATTTTTAATTCATTCCGTTTCATTTCAGTTCTTATTTTACTCATATCAAATAAAGTTTATTATTTGTTTCCTTCCATTTTTCACATTTTAATAATTCAAGTCTTTCATCATTCTTTTTTCTTCTACTCTAACTTGATTCGTCTCGTCCTTCCTTCTTCTAGTACTCTCAACCACCCCGGTGAGAGGCGTTTGATTTATTCTCAACTGATACTTACTCGGAATTGTCTATATGACGCAGAAAGTTAGTTCGAGTACTTCTTTTTTTTTCTCTTCTTTTTTTGAAAGTATTTATCTTGTTCTTTCTCAGTCGATCTCTCTCTCTCATCTCATTACACCATTTAAGATGTCATAATAGATAATAATAAATTCTTCGCTCCAATCATACTCTCTCCTGGGAAGGAGACACTCTCACGGAGACTTCCATATTGGTTTCAACATCCAGGACTATCATCTGGAGTGGGTCTACCTCTGCTCCGACTTCCAAGGTCGTTTATCTCTATCCTCAAGAGCACCGAGCAAGAAGTGTACCGCTCCCTTCCAGGAATTCGCCTCTAAGCACGCCCGATTCGAGAAGGAGACCGCGCCAAGGCAAGATCCTGCCCCTTCTGAGTCCCTCCGAGGAGATCCTCTCCTCATGTCGAATGTCGGCCGTCTCTTCTCGAATGCACCCTCGTAGTCATAAAGTTTCTCTCTCGATTCCTTCGGTGTTTTCTTCCTCAGGTCTACGAAGTGCACAGTCGTCGTCTCCTTTCGAGAGGCCCACTGCAGGTAGACGCTCTTCTTGGCAGGTCGGCCTCACTCTCTCGCTTTTCTTTGAGTTCTCGCTCCGTATTATCTCTTTTTTCAGTGTAGACCTTGTCTTTTTACTCTTTCGTTCTTGGTATAGTTTCCCCTTCAAATGAAGGCCGGATACATAGTTCTTTGTTAGACGCCAGTACTTTTACGTTTCTCTTTTTCACCATCTTTTTTCTTTTTCTTTCTCTTTTCTTCTTGCTCTTCTTCTCATTTTGTCTCTTTCTGTAGATCATTCAGTCGCCCTCCTGTATGAAGGAGACCTTTTTTTCTTCCCCTCTCTCTATAGCGAATGTTCATCCCCAATCGATGTCCCGTTACGGTAAAGGAGACTCTCAGCGTTTCAAGTCTTTTTTCTTTTTCGCTTCCTCATACTTGTAGGCCTCGAGAAGGCACGCATCCTCCCCATGGAAGTCCTAACTCACAAAAGCCTCGAGATAGGAAACCTCAGCTGAAGCTATCCGCTCAACTTATTGTTCTCTTCTGAGGAGCGTAGCCTCGAACTTCGAGGAAGAGTACACGAGTAGCTAAATCTACAACAATTAAAGTTGACAAGCATTGCTCGGTATTACGAAATTGCTATTCCTGGGAATCTAAAACAGTGCGACACGAAACGCGCCGAGGTCCGCACAAGAAAATTATACAATAAAGTGAATGATTCTTCTAGATAGCAACAGAGAGCAGTGTTAGGCGAGATCTCAAAAAAATTTCCCGTCTCGCTGTCTCTACAGATGAGGTATATTAGACATGAAGAGAAGCACCGATAGGCGGTGAACAGGGAAAGATGAACAGAAGTGATGTAATGAAAAAGATCAGCCTGAATTCTAAGCAATGTATGAGGGAAATCTTCCTCAACGCTAAGGTAAAAAGATATCACCGCGTTTCTAAAACATCAACAGGCAATTTTGCGTTTCATTATAGTAAGTAAATCATTTCAATATCAGTATATATAATTTATATTTTATATTTTTTTATCTTAATCTAAAATAATAATAGATAATATACGTAAAAATACCTTATATTTTATATTTTCTTCAATCTTGCCTTTCGGATTCCCTATCTTGCATTTCTTTCCTCTCATTCTTTTTTTTACTCTTCTTTTTAATTCTCCACGGGCTCTCTCTAGTACTTTTATTTCGTCTAGTCTTCTTCTCTCTCGTCGACCGTCCTTCAACTTCTCTCTCATCTCGTGATGCTGCTCTCTCCTCTCATCATGTTTTCTTTTTTTCTCCATCCTCTCTTCTTTTTTTATTTGATTGTTGTATCACACAATGATAATAAAGATAGATGAGACGATATGATAATAATAATATTGACCGATAATGATAATAATAATAATAGTCAATTCGATAATAATAATATAATAAAGAATCAATACATAAGTAATTAATCAATGATAATAATTAAGATTATGATAATAATAAGTGAATTTGATTCGATTGATTCTCTCGCATTCGATATATCGCAATTTCGTTCATAACTGATAATTCTATTATTCACATACCTTCTACACTCAAATTCACAAATCACACATAATCAGTGTGAAAGCTGTGATTAATTTACAATTAGAAGGAATGAGGAGAAGAAAGAGACTAACATGAAGATACATATGGAAAATAAGATAAAACTCATTACTCATAATTGAATCGTAAAATAAATAAAATTCCTCTCTTTCTCACTCATATATTACACATCTCATACAATAAAATACTGCACGAGAGATAGCGAGAAAAATATATTTATAACAGAAGTAATTGGAAAAAGTGTGAAGTGAGAGTAAGAAGATTAAGATACATTGGGTTCCATCATCGTCGTAGTCATCAAAATCAGTCATCAGAGAATCATCAACACATAATCGCAGTATACTTAATGGTCACAATCAAATATCTAAATTAATCACTCCTCTTATCCACTCTAACACGAAATACATTCTGATAGATATGTCATTATACAATTCAAAATCATTAACTTCTCTTCCAATCATCTCATATCTCCAACAATTTGGGTCTAGATTCAGCTATATTGTAAATACTCATCATATCATCTCTACCCATTCCGTCATCCAATCCAAATCATTCTCATCGATCAATCTCAATCCCATTCTCGTCATCTTCTAGCCAATATACATCATCATCCTCAATACCCATCCTAACGCTACTCAATTGCTCATCTCCTCGCTCATTCTTCTTTCAAAATCATTTATCATACTACATCTCAACCATCCAGGCCACTGTTTCATTCTCATCCGTCACTCTCTCTCTCTGTATAATATCTATCCCTATCTACAGCCATCATTCACCCCATCCTGTCATCATCAGAAGCATCCTATCAACATCATCTACCGAGAGAATCGTTCATCTTCTTCATTCAAAATCATCAATCATCCATCAACCAGCGTCATGTTCAATACGTCACCATCCCTCACTCATCACACACACACGTGTGAGCGTGAATTGAGAGTCGGAATGCAGAGAGAAAACAGTGCAGAGTGACAGATATCAAATCTCTTCAACGTACAAATAAATAAAACCTTCTCCATTCTCTACACCAGTCGAGACAGCGTGGATTATTTCACATGTAATGTATTGGCAAAAAGTAAGAATGAGGACAGAAGTCGAGTGATTATTACATGAAGAACTGGGAGGAACAAAGTTCGAGAAAACAAGGGAAAGGAGTCACATCAATTACCACGCAACATTTTTATTCATTGTATAAGATAGTAGAAACATTCATGACAATTTTAAGAAACTCAATTAGTACTACCATTAATCACCTAATCCAATCAAAAAATATACTCTCATCTTTCAATCTACTTAGAACACACAACAACTACAAACAAACACAAGTAATCAACAAAGTTGATAGAGAAAAAAATAAAAACAGTGATAAAAAATACCATGAAGAGGCGGATAGTGAATGAATGATGCAAAAGAGTGAGTACTAAATAAAAAAAAAAATGAAAATAGAATAAAACAAATTAAAAAGAAAACAATATACGTTCAAAGATTCTTTTAGAATGTCGCGTAATAGAGTAAAAAATATATATATCTTAAAGTTTACCGGCTCAGAAACATCTCATCCTAACGTTTAATCTCAATCCATTTTTAGGCGAGGAGAAGAAATGGAGATTGGATTACTAATTACGCGATCTCTCTTCTTCTCTCTCTCAATCTCTCTCTCACTCAAACACACACTACACACACCACACAACAACTCATATTCAACATCAATTATCATCATTAAAACGCTTCAACCTGTTCAGACATGAGCAAGCGTGATTTATTAAGTGAAGAAGGGGAAGGAAGAGAGAAAGAGTGAGTACTGAAAGATAATAGAATTCTAAGATGTACAATAATAAGCAATTCTATGAATAAAATTTTCTCATCTTCCGCGGGCCTGGTCAAACTTGGTCTTGAAGGTATAGAGTTCTTTGCTCGTAAGTGTTTTTGTGTCATTATGATTGTTTACTTTCGAGATGTACTTCCAATTACTTATTAATATTTGAATATCTGTCATTACTCCAATTTTCCATCATACATATTACCTCTCCTCTCTCATTTCCCTTTCTTTCGTTCATCATTAGCATCATTCTCATACTCATTACATCGTGTTTTTCATCATACTTAATTATCATCATTATCTCTCCCTCCTATCGCTTGTTTCGTTGTATATCATATATCTCAATGTTATCTTTATCATCATTTATCATCTGTTTACTTATATTTCATTATTGATATTATTCATTATCTGATCTGATTATTATCTCGATATGAATGATTAATTCATCTCTCCTCGTCCTCTTCTACATTATCCAATCTATTATATTACTCATTTCTATCCATACTGTTATTATCTACTCCTCTCATTAGCTCTCGTCTCTGTTATAATTATAATCAATGTATGAAAAGTTCAGACATCTCCATCTCTTTTTCTCACAAAAAATCTTCCTAATTCACTCTCTCCTATCTCTCGTTCCCTCTCTCTCTCTCTCTCTCACCTCGTATTCTGAGCTACTCGCATTCATCAAGTCATTACCAGACTAGTTTTCGTCATTTTTCATTCATCTGTGTTGAAATAATCATCGCTCTTTAGGTTGTAATAAGTGCTCTAAATGATCTCCTATTTTCAAGAGTACTTTCCCGACAGTAAAACCCAGCACAAGTTCCAAATGAATCTCTGATATAATCCTGCCATTTATATGTATACTGCCCCTTCCGCTACTTTCATATACTCAGATCCGATTAGTCAAAATAAAAATGGTTTTCATTTTCTAATTATCCTCCAATCTACATTATTACTTACAATTGCGAAAAAGTTAACTACTACTCGACTAAAACAGACTTGGAATCTTCGTAGACAATCCACTCCACAAAGTCCGCAGTATATCCCTCATGCCTCTTAAGATGTCATGAGCACCTAGGAAGCGCCGAGTGGCTCTAAACACACTACTGTCTATGCATTGCCTCTCATTTCTTTAGAAATAAGAAATAGAATAAGAATAAGAATAGATGATATAAGAAGTAAAAGAAGAAATTCCCTTTCTGTCGAGAGAGAATTTGTATCTGTTTGATATATTTTATTTTTTTGGGGCTTATTCGTTCGGAGTTTTTTCTATGATATTCGCTGCACACAACATTATGGCCTACATAACTCCTTTTCCATGATCTAAAACCTATCACATCAGCAACATTAAAACCGGTTTCCATGATCTTTAACTTCGCGTAAGAGTGAAAATGAAGATAAAATCGGAAAAGGAGAATGGGAGAAGTAAAAGAAAAAGATAAAATAGAAAGAAAAACAGACATTTACGCTCATACCCTGTTGTTAGTATAGACGGCCAGTATTTATTGGACGAAACAAAAAGTATATCTCGAGGAAGCTAAA